CGCACAATGTTTTCGGCAAACAATTGTTGAATTATTGGCGCCAATTGTCGCCCGATTTGGATGTAGTGTTTGGCCAATACTATCCGTTAAAGACAATGATTTTAATGCAATTCTTTATGCAATTATCGAAATGTCCGCTAATTTGCGAATCGGTTTCCAATGAATTTGAGGCCATTTTAATGAAATCAATTGATGTTACTCTTCCTGACAAAAGTGATTTTTTCAGGGATTAGCCATTCAATGGATTAAAGCATTATTTTTAGCACTTATTTTTAAATATCATTTATTGAATAAATTGACTCAATTATTGTTTTATAAGTTTGGATCAGTTGTTCAACAATTTTGGCACTCATTTAATGGCATTAATAATGTATTAATTTTTGTGCGTATATTTGATTCAAACATTTTTAAAAATTTATTAATTACGGACTGTTTTTTGACAACAATTTACTGTATTTAACGTGTGTTTTATTAATCATTACTTTTACTGTATCTTAAATATACTTTTAATTTATTGTATTTCGTAAAACTAAACACATAATATTATATTATTTAACTTTAATTATGGTCTAAATAAATGTTTAAAATAATGAGTGAATTTATATATTGATTATGTTTTCAAACATTGATTTGCTTTAAAACAGTAGTCTCTTCGTTGGGTTTCAGCCATCGCTTCATATAAACAGATATTTTATGGATTATTTGAACAAATTGTTGGAAGAATTGGATGTGATTTACGACGACTATAAGACATCACATCTCATGTCATTAATTATGTGATACTTTTTTAATTTATATTCAATTTATTTTAATTAATAAATCAAATCAAGTAATTATTATTTTGATAACAAATTATAAAATTTGGATTTGTTTGAAATTTGCGCTCAAATTATAGCCAATTATAAGCCATAGGTTTTGGACACAAATCAAGTGATGATTGCTTTGAGTCAACACTTGGTCTCACTTTTCATACATTAATCCACAGATCAGTCCATCGATTGATTCACATTTTAGTCACAACTCATTTATACCATTAGTCCATCGCTTCCAACACAAGACTTTGTCACACAATTGGATCCAATCATCAGATCTGTGGTAAGTGTTTGTGAATTGTATTAAAAACACGTGTTTTTAATTAATAATGAAATCTATGGCCAGAAATGTCACCAAAACTGTCGAAACCGTTATCACCGGGAGATGTGATAACCGAAGACATGCCTATCATTCATGCATTACACAAGGAATCCAAAGGCAAATATTGTGACAATTGTTTCAAACAATCGGATCAATTGAAGAGATGCTCGAAATGTCTTCAAATATTTTATTGCAGTAAAGAGTGTCAGAAGAATGACTGGAAGTATCACAAGAATGAGTGTCCACTCTATTTGCGTGACTTGACATCAGTCTTATCGACAACTAATTGGATGCGAATTTTGCTCCGACTCTTCCTTTCGGTGCAAAAGATCCCAAACTTTGCCACAAAAAAGTACCGATTGTTTGACGGATCGGATGTCAGTCTCAGAGACATCGAAGTGAATGCCAGTGAAGTCAATGACAACAAGAAAATTCTTAATTTCTCTAACATTTGCAATATTTTTAATGATATTGACTTTGATTACGATCGCCAAGAAGTACAGCATTGGTTGTCATTCTTGTATACCATTCCTCTGATTCCAATCAAATCTAGTGATCAGGACATAATGGAAACGCCGGACACTATTGGCACCGGTCTATACATTCAGCACTCACTGCTCGGCCACAGCTGTCAACCCAACAGCGCTCTCATCGGTAAAGGTTTGTTACTTAACATCGATATTGATTTTAGTATAATTTTAATAATCGTTTGTAACCATTGATTGACAGGACTATCGATACCATTGCGGGCAATGAGACCGATAGCCGCTGGCGAAGAGATTACCATAAGTTTCGTACGATTGGATCTAAACCGTGCGGACAGACAACAGGCACTGAAATTCTGGTCAATAGACTGCGAGTGCGAGAAATGTGTTTACCATTTGGATCGTAACATCGATTACACACGTCTTCAACCATCAAATCTGTTTCCACTCAATGTCTTCACATTTGGCACTCAATTAATGGATTATTTGCGACAAGTGTTGACCGAATTGGATGTCATGTTTGGCGAATATCATCCGCAGAAGACTAATCTCCTGATGGCAATCGTTATCAAATTAGCCAATTGTCCGCTAATTCCCGAACCCGTTATGAATGAAATGAAAGCCAAAACAATGAAAGCAATTGATGTGACACTTCTGTCCGACATTCCCTTTAGGAATCTCTTCATCCATAGGTTAACTACTGGTTAATTGTATGCCATTTAATACATAATTATTACTTTTTATGCCGTGTTTTGTATTATTAAGCGTTTTTTAGTTGATTATTGATTTTTATTAAATTTGTCATTTAATTGTGTTTTACAGTAATTTTCATTTAATTTTTAAAACAACACAACAAATAATTATTTAATAATAAGTGAATTTAAATCGTGATTATATTTTTAAACACATTTTTAAACATTGACTTAACTCTCAATTCAAAATACACTGAAAACTAAAATTGAATGTTTAAACATTTTTTTGACTGAAAAAAATGTTTAAACATTTTTAACGCATAAAAAGACATTAAAAATATTGACAACAGATGTCTCACTGTGTTTGCGATTGTGAGCGGAAGTCATACCACAACCGGTTGTGGTGTTTTGTCCGCACATTTCAGACAACAACCCAATCATTTGTGTGGGAAGTGTGAGTGCCATTACAAGCGCACTACTGGTGATACACCCGCGTTCCCAGTACTGCCAACCATCACCTGATCTGATCCAAGCTCGACAATAGCGTTGAAAGTAAGTGGGCATTAGATTGAAAACAACGCAACTCAGGTGTATCACATTGTGGTCATTTTGTTTGTCTGTCTGTGCTTAATGTATTTATATCACTCATTAGCTCCATTGAAGGCATTCAACAAAATGTGTTACGATTGATAAAGGTATCCACTTCTCGCAAACAAGAGGTCCCGCCGATACAACAGGTTATGTTTACATCGATTGATGTTTTGTCTTTAGTACAACTCATTAAATGTTTTTACATTTTATTTATATCCCATTTTGCGTTTAATTTGGATTACGAAAAAGGCGAAAGATTTCTATTTGGCAATTGAGCGAATATTATTCAAGTCGACAACAAGCACTATAGCATCAAATCATCGCTAACTTAAGACTTACTTAATAATCTCAATTATGACCACGAAATCAGGTGTTTCCGTTGCCATAAACTCATTGTTATTAAGATTTTGTATTAATTGTAACCAATAGTCTATTACGGCGACGAACTCAGGTGTTTCAGTTGCCATAAACTCATTGTTATTAAGATTTTGTATTAATTGTAATCAATAACCGTTAATAAAATCAAACATTTACTCCTAAACATTTGAACATTTATTTTCAAACATTCAAACATTTATTTCCATACATTCATTTTCATTGGATATACGGTATGCTCGAACTTTTTTCACTAAAAGCTCCTTCTTTCTATTTAAAATGTTTAAATGTGTAATGCATTTGGCAAAAATCTGTAGAACGAGCTTTCTCTACAGAAAGTTCCTTCATTTAAAAGTTTTGAGTGTATAATTATTATGTTGAGATAATCGTAGGTTTTGGACGCTTAGTATCGCTTCTCTCTCTTATAATAATTCGGCCAAATATCGCAAAATTCGCACAAAATTGATTTATTGTCATTAAATCAGTTATTCATAAAAAATAGTAATACATTTAAGCATTAAATATTGGTTTTTGAATAGTAATTGTGTAATTGATTGCGAGTGACATTCAATTCAATTGTGAAAACAAAAGTGAAATTCATATCATTATTTCATTACATTCAATCAAACAGTCATAAATTCTTATAAAAACTAACATTCAATTTAAATATCATATTTCTAATTTATAAATCATAACTAAAATTCTTATATAATGAATAAAGTATATTAAAATATTTTATCTCAATCCCCCATCGATAAGTCTCTGTTACAAATTGAAAGTCTTCAATTATCAGGTGATTGGTCACTAGAACTGCCGACAACTCGTGGCAGATATCTATTCAGTTGAGAGGCATGTGATGTTGTTATTACAGAATTGTCGTTTTGTTGGCCAATACGATAGGTTTCTGGCCTAAGAGATTTAAGGATAACATATGGGCCTGAATTTTCTGCCGATAACTTGTGTTTCTGAGGGTGATTGTCAGGTGTTTTACGGACTACTAGATCACCAATTTTAAATAGAGATGATTGATGTTTTTTATCGTGTAAATCTTTACGCTTAGTTTTTGTTGCTTCAGATCTGGATATTGCAAGATTACGAGCGTCTGCTAAACCAATTTCTGGCGTTGTATCGCTAGTAATACCAAATTGAAGGAAGTTTGGGGCAAATCCTGTAGCGCTGTGTGGGGTTGTGTTGTACTTTTGCACAACATCGGGTAATAAAGTTGACCATTTTTTCTTTGTGTCTTCAAAGCACGCCATTCGTAGTCTTCGTATGATTGTGTCGTTTGCCTTTTCCACGGTACCGTTAGCACAGGCATGATAGGGCGAGACCATTACATGGCGTACATTTTGATCAGTACAAAATTTACGGAAAGCTTTTGCCGTGAAATTTGGGTGTCTATCGCTGATGATTTTGGCCGGCGCCCCAACAGTGCGAAACAATTGAAGTAATACTGTTATAATGGTCGCAGTTGTATTTTTAGGAGTAGGAAAGGCCCAAACAAATCTGGAATGGTGATCGATAATAACCTGAATGTTTTTTGCACGTGTTTTTGCGGCCGAATTGCCCATTACTACGGTATCGATAGCCCATATTTCCATTGGTTTGTGTGGTGTTGGAATTGGTTGCATCTTTCCTAATGAGGGTCTATTTGTAGATTTAACCAGTTGACAAGTATGACAGCTTTTGACGTGTCGTTTTATATCGTGAATAACTGTTGGCCACCAATAAATACTTGTTATTAATTGTTGGGTTTTTGATATGCCAGGATGTCCTTGGTCATCGTGGTAATGCTTGAGAACGCGTTCGCACATCGAGTTTGGAATAATTATACGTGTAATACCACGCCGTTTGACGACAAGCAATCCATCACGTGTTTCGACATTACGAATTGAATTTTGGTCCATAGATTTCTGAGCGTCCAGTATTTCATTTGCGTTAATAAAGAGAGCAATTGGTTCCCGCGATAATGCATCTGGCGCTTCATGTTTCGCGCCGCTTTTATGATGCACAGTATAGGTATATACAGATAAACGAACTGACCAACGGAATAACCGACTTGACGGGTTTTTTATATTAAATAACCATTTTAACGCTGAATGATCGGTATATATATCAACAGGCCTTCCATGTACATATACGTGAAAATGTTCCATTGAGTTTACAACGGCCAAACACTCCAGTTCCGATGCCGTGTATTTTGATTCGTGAATATTTAAGCGTCGGGAATAATAACTGACAACTCGGTTGCGGTTCTCGTCGTCGGGTTGCATCAGAATAGCGCCAATTCCAACAGAACTGGCGTCGGTGTGCAGAGATAAAGGTCTATCGGGGCGATATATGGTTAGTATAGGAGATTCTGTTAACTTACACTTTAGTGTTTGAAAAGCAGATTCTTGGTCTTTATCCCATTTGAATGGAATGTCTTTTCGTGTTAGGCGTGTGAGAGGTTCTGCAATTCGACTAAAATTCGGTACGAAATGATTATAATAATTGGCCAGACCAATAAATCGCTGCACAGCCTTGACAGTAGTAGGGCGACAATAGTCTTTTACGGCCGCTATTTTTGATGGGGCCGGACGTGTACTCCCATTTTCTATCATGAATCCCAGATATTCAACTGTGTGTTTCAGAAAATGGCATTTCTCTCGACGGAGTTTAACGTTAGCAGCTAATAACCGTCGGAAAACTTCTGTTAATAAAGTATAGTGACTTTCATTATCTGGGGAATAAACAATTATATCATCAAGGTATGGAATGACACCGTGATGAATAAGATCTCCAAGTATTTGGCGAACTATTCTTTGAAATGCTGGTGGTCCGTTTTTACACCCCATTGGCAGGACCAACCATTCATATTGGCCATCAATTGTTACAAAACCTGTAATTTCCACTGAGTCCGGGTCTAAGCCGAGCTGCCAATATCCAAAAGCCATGTCTAATGTAGTGTAAACACGTGCCAGAGATAATTCATCGATTATATCTTGAATGATCGGGAGTGGCTCTCGTTCATCAATTGTTTCGGCGTTCATTCGACGATAATCTATGACAAGGCGTGGCTTTCCATTTTTCTTTCTCACCAGGGTTACGGGCGCTGCCCACGGTGACTTCGAGTTACGGACACATCCTTTTTCTATAAGGGCTTGGATTTGTTTTCTTATTTCAATTGTGTCTGTTGGAGAATGTCTATATGGTCGCAGTGCAATTGGGTTCGTTCCAGGGCGTAACCGGATTGTGTGGGTTCCAACCAATATACGTCCAATATCTGTCTCTGATTTTGCAAAAAGACTATCGTACTGTAAAAGTAAAGTGTTTAGTTTATCATTGTTAAGAATCAAACATCGATGTAATCGAGTATCGTTCGGTCCAAGCCGGTACACACTATTGCGATTCAAATTAATTTGAAGATCGAATAGTTGTCCAGTTTTGAGACCGATAATAAAGAGTTCTGGTGATTTAGGAATCACATGAGCTATTACTCTCCTTGTGATTGATCCAATCGTTAGTGTGATCGCTAGGCGGCCGTCAGTTTTTGTGATACCATTCACTTGCGTGACGGTAATTGCTGTGTGTGGATGTGGTTTAAGTTGGAGTTGTTTGGACAATGATTGTGATATTATATTGATAGTACTCCCTGTATCAATTAAAGCTCGAATTTTATGTCCATTGATCCACACATTAATATGTATTAAGTTTACTGACGACCGCCCGAGTAGTTTTCCGAAGCTTGAGAGTCCGATTCGTTGGTCTCATGCTCAGGCAGTAATGCAAGCACTGGTTGCTCTGTATCTGCCGATTCGTATGGACGGTACGGTTGCCGACGTCTCCGACTGCACTCTCGATGCCAGAGGAATGCTGTGATTCCCGCTTCTGCGCAGAATCTGCACGGTGATGGCGGCGCATCACGGGCTCGTTTAGCCGGATAGGGCGGGCTTGCGGTTAAAGCCGCCGGTCTTTTAAAGGGTTGCCTACCCGATTGTGTTTGTGTTGGAAGCGGGCGGCGGTTCATTGCCTCGAGTGAAAGTGCTACCGCGAGCCAAGCAACGGCAGTTTGCGCAGCACATAGCAAGTAGCCTTTATAAGATGCTGGCATCCCTTCTGTAAGCATCGCAACTGCATCTCTTTCTTGTAGAGTTGTTTGTCGTAAAGATCGCATTTTCTCATCGTAATACATTTGAACAGTTTCAGTTCCTTTAAGATATCGACGTTGACCTTCCACTAAAGGGTTAGTTACGGCTGGGCCAAACCGAGCAATGAGTGCGGCACGTACTTGTGGCCATGTATTGTTAGCCATAGTTGGAGCAATCTCAGATGCATACCAATTCAATGCGTCATCGATTAGATATGCCATGAGATTAAAGATACGATCTTGATCATTTTGGCCTCGCGTCACCACTTCAAATAGATTGCACCATAAATCAGCCTTAATAATTGTTTGATGGCCAGAATATTTTGTTAAGGTTTGACGCCCACATCCGTTGTTAGCTAGATTGTTGTTGTTTCCAACATTGCCATTTGCGACAGGAGCTCGACTTGTGTTTGAGCTACTAGCCGATATATTTGTCGCACGGGCTTGTCTGGTACTTGATCTGAGCAGCATTTTGATCAGAGTTGTTATACGGTGAGAGGAAGTGAGAGCAAATATTGCCCAGAATATGTCACGGCGTATTGATTATATATCGGGCGTATGCTACCGACCAGCGCCAATTGAGATAATCGTAGGTTTTGGACGCTTAGTATCGCTTCTCTCTCTTATAATAATTCGGCCAAATATCGCAAAATTCGCACAAAATTGATTTATTGTCATTAAATCAGTTATTCATAAAAAATAGTATAGGGGAGGGGGCGAACAATCCTAAGTGTTGTCAACTGTACTACCGCGAATTTCGGCAATAAACTCTTAATAACAGATAATGTAGGTATTTATTGTTTAAAACTTAATAGGGCGGTCAAGAGATAATTTCATTCTGCAAACAGCATTCAATAGAGAATTATACGAATGATCTTTTGCATAGCTGGTCAATATAGTTTGGTCACGTGGTATACAAAATATGGGACAATTCAAAATGTTCATATTATCGGTTTAACGGTTAGAAATATAGAGATAGACCCAATGTATAACTTGTAAAGAGATAAATTTTGCACAACATAAAAAAATAATTACTAAAATCTGATTGCAGGTTTTCACATAGCAGCTTAACAAACTATGCCAATTTTGCATGTTAACCTATGGAGATAAAAAATAATATTGAATTATAATATAATTGATTATATTTCTGAAAACTACATTAAATGCTGATTATGTTCGTAAATTTTTTTTAAATTTCATTCCAAAGACATAATATCTTAAATTGAAATCTTTAGTTTTAGCCGTAAAACCCGATAAAAACTCAATATTTTCAATTTATATATTAAAGGAAAGAATTTGATGAGAAGAATATGGATCTGAATGAATGTTGTAATTCGGATATCAGATAAAAAAAAGTTAAAAATGTATTACATTTTTTGTTCGTTATTTATGCTATAAACGTTATTGCAAATCATTCATATTATGTTAAATAATGATCTGGTCAATAGACCACGGCTAGTATTAGGGGTGGGCACTCTTCTTTAAAAAATGTAAAATCTTTGATCAATTTCAAATTGTGATTAACGTATAGCATCGCAGTATGATTCTTATTTAAATATATAATTCAATTTATTTAACAATTATTGAACTATTTTTAAATAGTTAAAATATGAATCAAATTTATTTGTTATTTATAGACGAAAGAGAGAAGCCGTTACTGATTGGGGCCCTAAAGTCCAACACCGGTCACACGGAGGGGGCGTCGGGTCTGTGCGCCGTCACTAAAGTAATCCTCGCCTTTGAAAACGAGTTAATCCCAGCGAACCTACACTTCAATAGAGCCAACCCAGCGATTGAGTCCCTAATCGAGGGTCACATTCAGCCCATTAACGAGAATACCGTGTTTTCGGGCGATTTGGTCGGTCTCAACAACTTTGGTTTAGGCGGTTCTAACACACACCTCATACTACGGTCGCCGAAGATTAAGGCACAGAAAGGCAATGACCAGATTGTAGACCACAGGTATCCGCGTTTAGTGCAGATATGCGGACGCAGTCAGGAGGCGGTCGAGTATTTCTTTGGCAAACTGTTTGAAAAGCCTTCAAAAATCAGTAGAGATTTACTGAATTTGATTAATGAGTTGTCAAAGAGCTCGCCCTACGAGACGGGGACCGGATGTCGGCCCATGAGATACCGTGGCTATACATTAATTAGCGCCAACTCCAGTGTCCAAACCGGACTAACTTTCACACCGATTCAGATCAACAAAGTGGCCAAAACGAGCCGACAATTGTGTTTTCTATACGCGTCAAAAGAGTTTCAATTGCCAGCGATTAACAAACAACTAATGAGTTTTGATGTCATCTCAGACTCTATTCATAAGTCGGCGATTGTGTTGAGAGACAAAGGCGTGGATCTGTTGGCGCTATTGACTAAACCAAATGTCGATTCTAACAATTGGGCGTTGAATTCAATGCTATCGACGGTCGCCACTCAGATGGCTTTGACGGATCAGTTGCGGCACTTGAATCTCACGGCCGATCGTATGATTGGCTACTCCGCCGGTGAGATAGTGTGCGCGTATGCGGACGGCTGTCTCACTGCTCGGGAAACCCTTTTAGTTGCCTATTATTGCGGGAAATTCATCGACAAAATGGCAGTCAAAAAGGGTTTAAATCGCAAGTTTAACGATTTGATTGTCTATAATATGGGCCATTGTTTTGGTCAGTATTACAAAGAAGTGCTGACCACTGGTCCGGAAGTAAAATCATATATTGAGACATTGGTTCAGACGTTAGATTCAGTGATCGGATCCGATCGAAAAAAGTCCTCTAAATGGATCTCAAATACCAACGATAATAACTGCGATAACATTAGCGGCAAATATTTTGTTAATTGCCTAATATTGCCGGCGATGTTAAAGAATACGCTCACCAATGGTTTGACCAACGGATCAGTAATCGTCGACTTGTCTCCGGACACTCTAATGGCAAATGAGATCATGAATTTAAATACAAATTATACATACATTTCTCTAATGAAAGGAATGGATGACAATTGCGAGTCATTATTGTTGACCGGTTTGGGCCGTCTCTATACAAATGGCTTTAATGTAAGTATAGAAAGACTGTATCCTACAGTTGGGGGTCCGGTATCGACGGGCACTCGAATGCTGTCGCCATTTATCCAATGGAATCACACAAAATCCTACCGTGAGATCAAATTTCCCGATTATTTTAATTACTTTCAAAATCGGTCGGACGAGTCCTATACCATCGACTTTATGGTATGCCACTACAGTCAACTATCGATGCTATCAACTGAATGGTTCTTGAGATTTAGTTGACAACATCGAGATAATTTTAACATTATATCTATGTGATGGGTATTTGGGAATTGGTTGATAACATAGAGTAGTTGACAGCATAGATAGTTGACAGGATATGTATTTGACTGTATAATTATAGTATCACTATACATGATCACAAAAGTAATTTATCTTAAAATTACAATTAATAAAAATAATTCTTAGAACGTGAACGACAAGTATATACTCGATCACTGTATTGATGGCAAAATCCTATTCCCGGGCACCGGGTATCTGATGCTTGCGTGGCGTTCATTGGCTTTTCACAAGAATATCTCATTTAAAGAGTTATCGGTGGAGTTCCGTGACGTACAGCTATTACGGGTCACACCCGTGACGGCCGACAGTAAAGTCACATTCAATGTGAATTTGGACAGAAGTACCGGACGTTTTCATATCACCGAAAGCGGATCAATTGTGGTGAGCGGTACTATACGCGAGATTCCAGGCGATCAATCGCTGCGATACACGTCTGTATTGAATGAAATACAATCGATGGCCGACGCGAGTCACGAAATGCCCATTTGTTTGCAAAATAAAGATGTGTACAAAATGTTGAGAATTCGGGGCTATAATTACGGCCCGAGTTTTCGCTGCATTACAGACGCCCACGAGATTCAAGACACGTATTGGTCGGCCGGTATTGAGTGGCGCGAGAATTGGGTCACATTTTGCGATTGTTTGTTACAGACGTGTCTAATAACGGAATCAAAGCAACTGTTGGTTCCGGTGGCCATCGAAGAGCTCCGATGCGATCCAAAACAACTGTTCAGCAAAAGCGGTGTCGAGAGGCGGACAGTATTTGATCCACACCTCAATATAGTGGTGACGGCGGGACTGGAGATCCGCGGAGTGCGGGCCAGTCCTCTGCATAGGAATGTCAAGTCTCAAAAGCCGGCTCACATGAGCTATGAGTTCGTCGCGTTTGACGAGTACTTCAGGCATGGATTGAATAAAGACATCACGTGTTCATCATATGACGAGCAAAACTTTCTTCGCTCTCAACTCACAATATTTGCCGAAAATCTCAACAAATTGAGTGGTAATCGCGTGAATGTGTTGGAAGTAAATGAGAGCTCAGCGCCAATGTATGGCACAGTTATGTCGACAATGGATATATTGCAGTACAGTCTCGACATTCACTATGTTTTGATTGGCCGTAAGACTGATCTCAAACGAGAAGACATAAACATGTATTCAAATACTTATTCTCTCAACAATTCTTGTCTGGGATCTGAAGTGAGTGACGGCGGCGTCGATCTGATTGTCTATAAGGATCAAAGTCTATGCAATTTAACCGACGAAACATTAAATAATAACAGCTTATTATTTTCAAGCTATTGGCAAAAACTAACTGATATGGGTTTCTTATTAATTGTAATGAATGCCAGCAAACATGAAGTGGTGAAGACTGTGGCCCATAGTATTGGTTTCCGTCTGGTATCACATAATAGCAACTGTTTCTCCGTTAAATCCCATTTATATCGGAAAATAATTAACAAACCGTTAATTAGGAGACAGATATTCATCGATTTTACCAACGATTACAGGCATTGGTTGCAGAGATTTCAACGCGAATTCAGTGGCATCGGCGACAAACCCATTGACCAGAATATATATTTAGTGGCCAACGGGTCGGCTGAGGGTCTGTTGGGTTTCATGAAATGCATACAAAAGGAACCCAACGGACATCGAGTCCGATGTCTGCAGATAATGGACACAAATTGCGATGATTGGAGTCCCGGAGTATTGGACAAAACAAATACTGTGTTAAACAATATCATCAAAAATAATTTGGCTATAAATGTGTTAAGAGATGGCAAAGTCGGTCATTACGTACTCAATGAGCTGTCGGTGCGGCGCAAGACTGTGGACACCGAACACTGTTTTCTAAATCTGCAAAATAGAGGCGATTTGTCTTCCTTTGAGTGGTTTGAATGTCAGCACAAGTATTGGCCGCTAAACCGAAATATCGGCGAAAAGTTGGTTCACATCTACTATTCGGCCCTCAATTTCAAAGATATAATGTTAGCGACGGGTCAGTCAATCGGTTCACAATCATCTCATCTAATACTCAATAGTAACTATTTTTTGCCATATTTTAGGTCGACTTCAATTGAAAGCTCCGGACGGAGAGACCGAATGCCTGATTGGGTCAGAATTTGCGGGAAGAGATGAGAACATGAATCGAGTGATGGGAATCGTATTGTCTAAAGCATTGGCCACCACTTGTCTGGTTAATAAAACACACTTTTTGTGGCCGATTCCCGACCACTGGTCGATGGAAGAGGCGGCTACTGTTCCCTGCGTTTACGGAACAGCATATTATGCGCTTATACTTAGGGGTAAATTACGGCCAAATGAGACAGTATTGATCCATTCGGGTAGCGGTGGTGTGGGTCAGGCGGCCATCAGAATATGCCTGAGTCTGAACTGTCGGCTATTAATAACAGTTGGCTCCGACGCCAAACGCCAGTTCCTTCAGGAATTGTTCCCGACTTTAGGCGACGAGTGTTTTGTCACATCCCGAGACGCCACCGCTTTTCGGCGTCACGTTATGACCGAAACGGACGGCGCGGGCGTCGATGTGGTCCTTAACTCCCTGTCCGACGACAAACTGTTCGCAAGTTTGGAGTGTTTGGCCACAAATGGACGCTTCCTTGAGATCGGAAAATATGATTTCGTCAAAGACTCGCTTTTAAGTATACTTTTAATTATCATCAGTTTTCGGCCAAATAATGAATAAATAATTATAATCAATGTGCTTTTAATGAATCTCTCTCTCTCTCTCTCTTTCTTTCTCTCTTTCTAATTTTAATGTTACACAAAATGTTACATAGCTAGAGATAAACATTTAAAGCATTATATTACTCTTCGGAAACCGTCTTTCGTCGTCTGTAATCATATCGATATGATTGTAGAGATTGTCACTCAACTCATCCACTGAATCAGATTCTGTCGTATAAATTATAATTTTTAAGAATAATTTAAATAGTAATTAAATGTTATTGAATTTAATACCCGGATAACGACCCGAAACGCCAGATATCACGATATAATCGCATTTTGTTGAATTCATTTTTATATTAATGATATATTTTGATTTTTATTACATAATTTAAAAACTGTTATAACTCTGTAATTAAAGTGTTCTTATAACAGACAATCCAAAGTGTGATTTTAATTATTAAAATTCAATGCTCAGTAATGAATGAGTATATACAGGGTGTATATTAATAACATTTTCAAAAATATAATTAAATATTTATTACTTGAAATATTAAAATGGAAGTATGTAAAAATAATTATATACTCAAGAAATTTGTTTAATAGAGTGCAAAATCTATGTTGGATTTCCTATTCTTATAATGTTAAAATAACCTCTCTTAGGTAAACTCTCCATAATGAATACCTTCCCATTATGAACGTATTTATAAAGATTAAGATAAAATTTCACTCCCTCTAACAGACAAATATAATTGAAAGCACATTATTTGTAAAAGTATTCAAAATATTTTCTAATCTAAGACTTTAAACATACAAATAACACATTTTTATTTATAGTTTCATTCAATATTGCAAAATATGTGATAAACACTATATTCATTCTCTGATTAGTAAATAATTAAAAATATTAATCAAAAATTTAACTTTTTACTCGAACCTTTCTTAAATAAACCCTCCCTATAATGAACACTTTTGTCGTTCATTATAAAGAAGTTGCACTGTATTAATATGGCTAATCTTCTTCTTTACATTGTATTACAAATAATCGTTCAACAATTTAATATATTTGTTATAATTGTTTTTGTTTCTTATAGTTTTTGGTAAACTATTTAAAAATATTATACAATAATAAAATAATATTAATCTAATAATTGGATACAAATAATAGGTATTTTACAAAACAGTCAGTTTTTGGAGTTTTTATAAAATTCAATTTTATTTCTCCATTTGTTGGCTATTCTAAAACAATTATTTTTAATTTTAAAGAATGTTTTTAAAATCTGTATATCTTTGCGTTTTTTAAATGTAATATTTTTAAACGCAATTAACCTTCCATTATATGATATGTTGGTAAAACCTAATATATGATACTGATTAGAAATTTTGTAGGTATGCATACGAAGTTTAACATAAATATAAAAGCTGCAAATCAAATATTTAAGTTTGAAACTTTGTTTATGATTTATCTGTGTATATCTTATATATCTGAACAAAACACCCGTACAATCGGAACTTTATAACTGCTTAGGCATTTTGTTAAAAATGAAGCGTAATAAGAAATAATTTGATGGCATTAAGCACTTAATATATGGTCACCCTGTATAATTTAACTTAACTTAATTAATGAATCGTATGGGTATATCACGTACGATATATATCTAATTTTTTATAAAATAATCGAAATGTAGTGATTGATCATGTTACATTGATGAAATGTAATATAAATTCAATGATAATTCTAAATGAACCATCTGCTATAATGTGCTTTTTTATTAAATAATTATAACTAAGAAAACAGATTATATGCCAATTATGAGATTACAATCGTAATCACAATAATTCCCATAATATATCATTGATTTTGAAACTATTTTCAAGTGTTTTGTTTACAAGAATTTGGAAAATATTAATTGTATTCCTTAGACATACTCTCTCTCTCTCTCTCTCTCTCTCTCTCTCTCTCTCTAGATGTGACGGATTTGTTGCGAAACAAGAGCTTTGAAGGCATACAATTTGATGCTCTGCTTATGGTTGACGACAAGACATCGCCGACAATGTTGAGGGATAGGCAGAAGATATGGGAACTTATAAACAATGGCATCGGCGCCGGTGTTGTGCAGCCCCTGAACCGTACGGTTTATGACCACAACCGGTGCGAAGAGGCCTTTCGTTTCATGTCTAGCGGTCGACACGTCGGCAAAGTTATCATTAAAATCCGTGGCGAAGAATCCTTCAAACAGAGCCTTCACGTTAATGCCATCAAAATGGCAGCCATTCCTCGAACGGTATTCTTCTCTCACAAAATATATATAATGACCGGTGGTTTGGGAGGAATGGGTTTAGAGATCATTGATTGGATGGTCGAGAGGGGGGCGCAGAGGTTTGTGGTCACCTCGAGATCGGGTCCCAAACAGCCGTATCAGTACTCGCGGCTCAAGTATTTCAAAGACTCTGGCATTGAGATAGTTGTGTGGACTCAACCGATTGGTTCCGAAAGCAATGCCAAAGATCTGTTCGTTGAGGCCATGAAATTGGGTCCAATCGGCGGTATATTTCACTTATCATTAGTGATAAGTGACGGCTTTTTGGAGAATCAGTCGATCGAGTCGTTTGATAAAGTGTTTGAATCTAAATCCAAACCATTTGCACATTTGGATCAATTGTCGCGACAAATGTGTCCACAATTGGATCACTTTGTGGTGTTTTCATCGGCGGTCACATGGCTTGGAAGCGCCGGTCAAAGTAATTACGGCTTCAGTAATGCAGTGATGGAGAGACTGTGCGAACTGAGACGGGGCGAGGGTTTGCCGGCTCTGGCCATCCAATGGGGTCCAGTCGGTGACGTCGGTTATGTGGCCGACAATATCACCGCCAATGACTATGTATTGGGCTCCACCCGATCTCAGAGTATGTACTCATGCCTACAGACGTTGGATGAGTTGCTTGATTCCGATGTCACCATCTGTTCGAGTGTTGTGTTTAGAGACGAGAAGACACGCAAATCCGATTCGTTGACCGATCGGAACAATCTGTTGACAGCAGTGTCTCGTATATTAGGCCACAAAGACATAGAGAAGTTCGACGCGAAGACCCGTTTGTCAGAACTGGGAATGGATTCACTGCTAAGCGTTGAGACAAAACAAATGATCGAAAGGGACTTTGAGTTGGTTTTGTCCACTCAGGAGATCCAGAACTTGACGATTGAACGCATTCGACAGATCGACTCTTCGGCGCCGACGGCAAGTAATGGTGGCGGAAAGAAGACATCGGCGGTAACGGCAACTACTTGTCAACATACAGACACCGACCACAAGATAACGTCCGTCGTGTCGGCCGACAAAAATGTGTTTCAAATACCGACAGAACGAGTCGTGTATCTCAATGCTATAAAAGATGGCCGAAAAGTGTTTTACTTACCGCCGACTGACGGCACTTACCATCTGTTCCTTCCGGTGGCCACTCGTATGACACGACCTGTGATTGGACTCAATTGGACAGAAGAGTGCCTTCAGTTCGGATCAATTCGAGAGACGGCGCAACACTTTCTGGACGTAATCCACAGCGAGTTTGTCAATCAATTGGACGATGGATTTGATTTGTGCGGCTATTCATACGGTGTGTTTGTGGTTTACGATATGTGTGTGGCGTTACAGCGAACGGCCAGTAGTGGTTCAGTATCACCGCTACCACCGCCAAAGCTCATAGCTTTGGACTTGTGTCCGGTACAGAACCGCAAAGATGTTGTCTTGTCTTTGGCCGCCACTCAACATATATTCAACGGCGACCAGAAGTTGTTTCTATTGTTCTCGTTTCTGATGGACAAGATATCGATTCAGTCGCAAGAGTTGGTCCAAAGGGTGACGGGTGTGGAGCGCAGTCTATGGGAGCGAGTGGTGGCCGAGTTGTTGATAGAGCGCATCGGCGACCCGTGTTTGGCACCAAATGAGGTGATGTTTGCCGTGAAGACACACGTCCACAAAATGCAACACATGATTGACTATACAATCGGTGGTAACGATATGAACGGACAGCGACTTGAAGGCAATGTACTGCTGATACGGGCGGACCAACCCTTTGTTGGCACCGTTGCGGCTAAAAGTGAGTCCAGGCATACCGTTCTTTACGACTACGGTTTTGGTGAGGTATGTGTCCATTCGCTACAGGTTTCTACTAATCGGTCGCACAAACCGATGAATGATAATGTGATCACATACTGAATTAAAAGCCAATTTATTATGATAAACATAAAATATTGGTTGCTTTTAAACTTTAGCTATTTATTTATGAATAAAACAGATCGTTAAAAAATTAATTCTAAAATATTTTTATCCAAATAGATAATTAGCGGCAAATGTATTGTTCACATATTGGATGGCAATCACACAAAGTTTATGGCCAATAATCCGCACCACATCTCTACATATATCGCTGATTATCTTAAATCAGATAATCATTGATTACAATAATTGTATAATGATTTGGTTTATGTTATAATTTTTAAGTAATGTTAATATGTAATTACTTTTACAAATATAATAAAATACATATAAAGATAATACAGGGTTTATATTAATGGACTTTACCAAAACAAACTCGAATATCTCAAAACGTATTCGGTCTAGATCAGAGACGACAAGAGCAGCATTTCATCATAATAAATTCTTTGTGGTTACTCATTATAAACGTTATAATGCTTGACTAAATACACTAAATACATGTATTGAGCCCTTTAATTACTCATTACTTATATCTTTAATCCCTTCCTTTACATTACTATAACACTATATATGAGTAGTTGCATTCTATATAATCACATTTGGCACTTTTTTGGGACTTTCTGTCGTTTCTAGTCTAGATATTCAAATAATAATGTATTAAGTAATTCACCAACTACGTGTGTATTTGTTGTGATATGATCAATATGATTGTCTTCGTAGTTTAGAAAAACCCCGAGCCAAACAAAATTTTGGAATTTTTTTCCATATGCATGATGTTAAATTCAACCTTAACCCTACAAGCTTAACCTGGGAGAATAGTTTCCCATTTGTAGTCATATTGTGGTTCTCATTGGAAACGTTATGTCTGGGACTGTTCTCCCTGTGAGTGCCCGACGAGTACAAGTGGCCCTTCACTAGCACCGTATGGCTTATCAGTGCAATGACTGGTACGTTGTCTTCATGTTCTACCGTGTATTGTGTACTGAACTTCGGTATACTAACTTCATATTTATACTTTTAGGCCTATGCGGTGCGTCCGACCAGTTGTTCAAAACGTTGGCATTTTAGCTAGAAAACGCGGGAACCGTAGCCGTTGTCTGGGCTTTCAGTGTTGTCGCCAGTTTTATTTTGTCGGTTACAATACTGAACGAGAAGATACTGGTGACCAGTTCTATCGGCGGTGCCCTCATCGTCGTCTCCATCATCATTTTGGGTGTTTATAAGTGGCGCACAGACTATAAGTGTGATGGGAAAGGTAGCCGAGCGATCCTATAAACCACATTATTCATATCTGAATTGTGGTTAAAAAAGTAAACAATTTATAAATGTCAGACATTTGCGACACTTATAACAAATAAATGCCTTCGTTTAATGGGAGTAAATGGTTCCCTTTGTCCGAGTTGTCTAACGGTCGAATAACAAAAAGGATTGCTCTACCCTTTGCTCTATCCATATCTTAGTGTTATACAGTTGTGAGATGCAGTGTCTACGCTAACACTACTGGCTTCCGGGCTATTGTATACAAAACTCAATACCGTTCTCTAGTATTCCCAACACTCGATACGGTCTGCGCCATTCCTGGCGGCGCTTTCCTCCAGCGATTGACCGGTCGTACCAAAGGATCAGGTTTCCGATGTCAGCTAATTTAGTTGTCCAAAGTGTTCCGGCGCTGTAGTTCCTTCTCCTGCACGCGGACAACGTTATCGTAGACGTGGCGGCGATGGGCGGCAAAATCTCGGCCTGTTGGTATGGGAGGCAGTTCTAACCGTCTCTTCGCGGACATCCCTCTGTCCAATCCAATGATGATAAAACGTGGCGGATAGCGAGTGGTCGAGTAGGGCGCCGAGTTTACGTGTCGGCGATGTCTACCGAATAGTTGACACTTCCACTCGGATCTTGAGTTGTGTTACTAATTTATAATTGCAATATAATTGGTGCGTTTGCCACAAGAGGTATATTTGGTGTGACATGTGGTGAGACTTGGATGACTCACTTATTCGGATTGCAAGAACCGATGGGTGGCGGCGCTAAAAAGGTTGGCCTCTCGATCCCTTAGGAGACTTCGGTGGTCTAAAGCGTGAGAACACAACTCCATGTTGCCGTCTGAAAACACGTTGTAGTCGTTTAACGGGCGGTACAGTAGTAACAAATAGTACGGCTCTACTTGTAGGCAGTAACCAAATTCCGTAATCACTCAAAGTCGACGGCGTCATAACGAGAGGTTCCAATTAAATAAATTTAAAGATTTAAAGAATAATAGTTTTGTTTTGAACATGTTTTGTATTTTATACATTTAGTAACCACAATTCAGTATGAATAATGTGGTTAATAGGATCGTTCGGCTACTCCTTCCCCCTCCCCCAGCCCCCCCAATCCTATGGGATTTAACATGGGATTCCATGTTAATCCTATGGCTATACTTTAACATGGGGAGACTCTCATAGGTTTAACATGGGGACGCTTTAACATGAGTTTCTATGGGATTACAGCTTAAGTCTATAACATAGGAATAACATGGGTAATGCTAAGTCTATGGCATAGGAATAACATGAGCAATGCTATGTCTATGGCATAGGAATAACATGAGCAATGCTAAGTCTATGGCATAGGAATAACATGGGCAATGCTAAGTTTATGGACAATGATAAGTCTATGTGTAATGCTAAGTCTATGGCATAAGGATAATCTTATGGACAATGTTAAGTCTATGGCATAGGAATAACATAGGCAATGCTAAATCTATGCAATAGAGATAACATGGGTAATGCTAAGTCTATCGACAATGATAAGTCTATGTAAATAGAACTAATTGTTGTCAAAAACATTTTAAATTCTCAAAATAATAATAGTGAAAGTTTTCTAACAATAGTATTGAAAAATTAAAAATCTTTGATGCATTTCCCGAATTGTGGTTAACGTATAGCACCGCTGTGTGATCCTTGTTTTGATGACTGATTATTACTCTTCATTTATTATTACAGTGTAAAATTCACTTTTTGGTGAAAACAATAAAAATATTTTCATTTCGATCGCAACTAACTATTGAATAATAGTTTTATTGAATTATAATTTTATTTGAAATTCCCTTTTATTAGTGAAATTGTTAGCAATACTATTGCGCAAAACACACACCTATTAGTAGAGCGACCATAAAATTTTAGCCAAAGGGAGGACAAAATGAGAAAATCTCCAAATTTGGGGAGGACATGGGGAGGACGCTATGTTTTAGTGTATAAAATTATAGCTATACTATTACCATTGCTATATTACAGCACTTAATAGAAAACTGAATGTTATTTAATCATTTGTATTGCAAATATTTGAATAATTACTAAAATTATCTCGGGAGAACGGTGCCAGAAATGGTCCAGGGGAGGACTGTCCTCCCGGTTGGAGGACTGTCCTCCCGGGGGGAGGACGTTTGGTCACCCTACCTATTAGTGCTTAACAACCACTATATTATGTAATATACAAGTGATTGCATCTATAGTAATGCAATCACTATTCTGTTAAACGTTGTATTTTTGTATTACAATTTGTAAAATAAAATTTTTGTTAATAAATTGTTTTAATTATTAAATAAAGATGTCTTTAAATAGTGAAACAAATACTGAATTTAATTACAAAAGGGATTCATTCGGTGACAGAATATGCGATGATTTGTGCGAAGAGTTGTTAAAAGGATTGTCTATTGAAGAGAAGATTAGACTCCAATCGGTGTCCAAACAGTTCCAGAGGTGTGTCTTCACGGGTGTGCAGAGTCTCGATCTCTATTCACTCACTTATAGGCAAAGCGAAGACTTTGAGAGAATATTGATATACCAGGGATTGGATGAAAACAAATTTGAAAGTTTGCTTCAAAAATGTCAAAATCTATCCGATATTCGTATGCCTTATGACGAGTCCATCGATGAAGAGCTCTATAATCGCTTAATTGAGTTAATTATTAAACATTGCAATCATTTGAAGAGTTTTGCAATTGATATGAATCGTGTGACTGAAGAGACTTACCGTCGATTCGCCGATAAGTATAGCAAAAGTGTCACAACTATTGACTTTCACACCAATTATGAAGACATTAATAAAGTTTTGAAAGTTTTCCCAAAAATAAATGAATTGCAGTTTTATTGGACTTCTTCGACTATTCTTAAGGAAATATTTGATGAAAACAAATGTTTGGTCAATAATATGATTAAATGTGCCCTAAATTATGATCCCGAGTATAAACACAATTTAAAAACATTTATTACAAATAATCAGTCGTTACAACACTTTTATATCGAGACCTATGGTATAGAAACGGATGAATTGAATTACATTTACCAACAATTGTCTGAATTAAAAAACATTGAAGTTTTGACACATTGTGAAGACTTGTCTGGTTTTGATGCCAACGACCAGACATTCAGACACGCGTTGAGACAAATCGCTAATAAATGTCCAAAACTGCTAAAATTAAATATTTATTA